CCCCAAAACCCCAAAACCCCAAAACCCCAAAACCCCAAAACCCCTTTAAGAATATATTAATTTGAGGCCATTAATAATAAAATGAGTTCAGTCGCATATCATAGATCCCCATGCCCAGGAAGAATCTTCGAAGATCTTGGAGTCGGATTCAGTCTCGGATGATTTGGAGGTTCACTAATTTATTTCTTTAAAGGTAAGTTTCTTATCTCCTAGAAGTCAATAATTAAGTTAACATCAACAAATATGGAATGTTAGCTAGTTATCTTCTTCCGATTTACTTATAGTTATATTTTGCACGCTTTCTTTGCTGGGACTCTAATTCTAAGCTATGCAATATAATCAAAAATATCTGAGAAATTCCTTTCAATATCATATTTATTTTTCTATTGACTAACTCTTTAAATAGGAGCATGGAATTCGCCAAGGAGAATGAAAATTAGAGGAGGATTGGCACATATTAGAAATCGTGCTCCATTTATGGGAGGTAAGCATCCAGAAAGAACCTGATAAAATAAAATAACCCTGGAATTTACTTACATGCCACTATAGGCTCATTCGCAATGTGGGGTGGATGCTTCTCATCCTGTGACTGTTTAATGATTTGGCTAAGACAAAAAGATGACCCCCTCAACGCTTGTGTAGCTGGATTCGTCACTGGTGGTGTCCTTGCCATTAGAAGTGGAGCTAGTAATGCTTTCAAGAACGCAGTCATTGGTGGAGGAATTCTATGTCTGATTGAAGGAGTCTCGGTAGTCCTTCAAGCAGTAATGATGAGAAACCAGCAAATTATGCAAGAAAAAATGCAAAAAATGGAACTCGAGAGAATGAGACAAGCTCAGGCTCAGAACAAAAACCCATGGGAAATTGAGTTCAATGAAAAAGAAGCTATGAGTGGTGCTCCAAAATCCTTTGAATTCTAATAAATTTATACTTCACGAAAATAGCAGTTGACAATTTTCAATCGAATGTAAAAATATAGGGGTTTTGGGGTTTTGGGGTTTTGGGGTTTTGGGGTTTTGGGGTTTTGGGG